TCCCTGGAACTGGAGTTACGGATAGTTGTTAGCTGCCATGTGGGTGCTGGGATTTGAACCTGGGTCTTCTTCAAGAACAGTGTTCTTAACTGCTGAGCCATCTCTCCAGCCCCCAATGTAACATAATTTTTAAAAGATTCTGCTCATTGGAGACAATTCTGAATTTTGAAGATCACAGAAACTCAAATTCTTCCAGACTTTTTATTAAGTGATCTGAAATATTTTTCTTAACTTACCAACAGTGTGTCTCCAACTTCCCCATAAAGTAAAGGTCCCAAGATTCCTGATTCCTGCTGAGTAGGTTCACGAGTCTTAAATGTTTCATCTGTATACGCCACAAATCTAACTTTTTTATATTTTCTACCAATCCTGTGAGGGCCATTGCTCAGATATTGGCTTTTATAACTTCTGTATGAGAGGCAAAAAGATGAGGGGTTGAGATAGAAAATTTTAGGTAGACAAAAATCCAACTTTAGTATGATTTCATCAAAGCAAGGACAAAAATATAAGTAGTCTGATGCTTACCTATGCTAGTGTCTAAATATTCTAATACCTGCTGTAGTTCAGATCTTGAATGTCCCCGGAATGCACATGTGCTAAAGCGTTGGTCACCAGAGTATAGAGCTATGGGGAGGTGCTGGAACCTTTAGAAGTTGGAGCCTAGTAGGAAGAACTAAAGTCACTGGGGGAATGCTCCTTAAGGGGATATTGGAACCTCAGGTACTTTCACCCCAACTCTTTGTTTCCTACCTTACCATTTGATTCCACACCTATGCTAACTCTTAAATAGTGCTTAAGGATTTTTTTAGTTGCACAAAGGAGACAAATCTTTTGAGTATAGAGGCGAGTAGTACTGAGTTCAAAGATGTTTACCCATCATCATCCAAAATGGGAACTGAAGGAGCATAGTCCCAGTCTTCTTCCTCAGCAGCAATATAATGTATCCAAGTTTTGGGATACTTCTTGGCAACTGAGCGGATCTGGATAAAAGGAGAGTTGTCACCATCAAATGTGAATACATCCATCTCAGAATCAAGATCATCGTCATAATCTTCCATTTCTTTGTTGCTTTTCCTCTGCAGTTTGGGTTCCTCTGGGCAGCTATCTACTTTCACATAAGCTTCCATGCCACCTGCAGTCAGACAGTCCCAAACAATGTCAGACTCCCACAATACTTTCTTGCCTTCACTTTTATGACTTCATCTTCTCTTATCAGGATTTAAAGATTCTCTTCTAGGTATCTCCCTTTCTATCTTGGTACCTCTTAAGTCATTCTCTTATCTAGATTTCTTCTTATGTGAATTATATAATACTTGCTGATTTTTTCCTCTGGTTTCTCCACTTCTCATTTTTCTTTTAATCCAACTGTCTTCTATACATAGTTGACCCTTTTCCTAAATTCATTAATATAACAGGATATATGAATAGATGTGGCTATTTCTTTTCCAAAGTTCATTAATATAGGATACATATGACTATTTCTCTTTTGGAACTGTTTATTTTTACATGTCTCTTTGTGTGTGTGTGTGTGTGTGCGTGCGCATGCATGATGTGAGCGTGCACGTGCACATGTGCCATGGTACTTGAGTGAAGATCAGAAAACAACTTTGTGGAGTCAGTTTTCTTCTTTTACCTTCATGTGGGTTCCAGGGATCAAACTCAGGTCATCAGGCTTACATGGCTGAGCCATCTTGCTGTCCCTGGAACTGGTTTTGAGCCCATTATCAATTCTTTAAAATAAAGTCTTCAGAGTCCTTGCATTCTTTTTTTCTGGTGTGCTGTTTGTAAATCAATGATTTGTATAATAATATAATGGAATAAATATAGGAATCATTGGGTAACTGTGGTAGTGAGAAGCTCATGACTCATATGTATGAAAATGCCATAATGAAGCCCATTAATTTCTCTGCTAACTTTAAAATTAGTTAAAATTTAGTGTATAATAAAATTTTTGGATTAAAATGAAGGATTTTTTATGAGGTTCAATTAGACAAATAATTTTTCTGAAAAATGAGGATTTAAATTAGTGGAGACAAATTGTTAAAAGTGGAAAACAAAATATAAACTTCGCTCACGTTGATCAGACTTCAACTTGACAATAACTAATGTATGTACCAGTGAAAGACCTATTCATCTGTACCTGTAGGATTTTATTTTGTTAAAATCCCACAAATATGTAGCAGATGAGGAAAAGAAGTATCTATTTTTAATTACTACAGAAGAGTATAAGATAGTCACTCAGCAGATTAAGGCATCCTTAAATGGCCATAATAAAGAGTTATTAGGTTGATCCAATATTAAGAATTAACAAAGCTAATACAGAAGAAGGAAAATAGAGGTGAAAGTATGATCCAATCTGAATTTACACAACTGCTATCTACAAATGAAATCATATGAACAGGCACTGAAATTGTAGATACAAATGTCCCAGCCTGTTCACAGTATCTTTGACCCTTTGCAAAACCTCATCAAGTAGTCCTTGAAAGCATCATCCCCTAGATGCCTTATGAAAATGTCTTTTCATTTACAATTGGTAGCTGCTCAACCCATTGTGTTGAGGCCTAGTTAATGGCATTAGGCCATGAAACCAATGACGTACTGTCCTTTTCCCCACCTCATTCATCCCTAAACTGTCTCCAATCACAGACAACTAAAAACTCACAATACTAACAATAAAGTCCTTTTACACTTAGGGTAAAAATTTACACTGAGAGATTTCAGCTGAAGTCTAATATACTCCTAATTCTATAATGGCACCTTCTAGAACACATTATATTCTTTTTTTGAAAAACGAACTTTAAAAAATATTTATTATTTTTATTTTATGTGTATGCGTGTATTGCCTGCATGTAGGTAAGTGCACCTGTGTTGTGCAATGCCCACGGAGGTCATTAGAGGCTGTCGGATCCCCTGGGACTGGAGTTACGGACAGTTGTTAGCTGCCATGTGGGTGCTGGGATTCGAACCTGGGTCTTCTGTAAGAACAACCAGTGTTCTTAACCACTGAACCATCTCTCCAGCCCCCCACATTATATTCTTGTATGTTGTCCAACAAATTTCATTAAAATTATAACTGGATCTTTTGCAATAATCATTTTTAAGATCCAAGACAGTACCATGTTGGTGGGAAGAGATATGGCAAGATAGAAGAAACTGTCCAAGATTCATGAAGTATGTCTGAGCAGTAAGGAAAGTTATTGGTGATATCTCCAAGGAGGCCTGACGATGGTTCCTCACGAGAAATGTGTGACCTTCAAGGAATACTGAGTGCACTTCAGGGGTGGTGCCCATTCCAATGACATGCCAGTATATTGATTTTCTGTGGCATCCAATTAGACCTGTAAAATAGGAATGCGAGAGCTATGGCTAAGAAATAGAGAGCTTGAAATTGAAAGCACTTTCTAGGATAGTATGGACAAAATGACCCTACAAATTTTATTGTTACCTTAACTTATATACAAGCTTACCAAAGAAGTTAATTGGGGTACTATCAAACCAACAGCTCGTGCCAAGGTCACTGATAAATCCAATGAACTTATTTCTTTAACTGTAGTACATATTTAGTGGTGTCTAGGGCCTTCCATTTCTGAAAATGCTTTTTATTCTTCCATCAAGGCTGATTCATAGTTTTGCTATAAATTTTAGTTTGAAAATAATCTTTCCTTTGGATCTTTTCTTAAAGATACTGCTCACCTATATCATCAGTCTAATTCATTTTCCTTCATATATGATCAGTTTTTCCCAGGACAAGTTTTAAGAATCTTGTCTTTGCGCTCTAAAAAAGTCACAATGATAATTTTCTGTGGAGTTCTATTTTTGTTTATGCTAATGAATAATTTATTTATGAATATTTATACCTCTTATTTCTCAGCATTTTTGTTTTGCTGTTTCTTTGATTTTTAGGTTAATTTTCTTTTTGTTGTATTCTATGGTTTGTATTTTGATAATCATAGCTCTAGTTTTTATGAGCATGTTTTTCTTCTGATTATTTTTTCTCTTTTGAGATTGTTATTTTCTTTGATTATCTGTGCACATTGCTTTCATGTTTCTGGCTCCTCTTAAACAATCCTGATTTTTTACTCATACTTAAGCAAAAGGAAAGAGAAATCTGGCCTTCATGTTCAGGCAGTTGAAAGAGGAATCTGCTATACTATATTTTAAGAACACTAGAGGACAGAATTCAGTGGGCTCTCAACTGGGGTACAGAACTGTCTGAGAACTGCAGAAAAAAGCTATGAATCTGAAATCCAAAATCTCTAAGGATTGTTGAATAGTCCTGTAAATACCTGGCAGAGACCTGTTTACATATCCATTGACTGTGTGCATTTTAGGCCAGGCTCCAGTGGATGCAGAATCAGTAGCCTGTGTGAAGGAGTCCTTTGTTTCGGAGTGCCAGCTCTTCCCTGATGAGAAAGAAGGCCAAAATAAGGTCATCTAAGCTCTGTTCTCGAATGACACTCCCTTTCCGTTTCTTCAACCTCCCCTTTGGGACACAGACTATACATATTCTGAATTTGTATCAGCAGAGAAGGTACAGACTCAGAGTCACTGAAAAGAAAATTACATTTTTAAGTTGAATCTATTTGTTCGTAACAGTAGGTGGGAAAAATAATGGCAAATGATAACTAAGGGAAGGGAGAGTATTGGTTAGGTTGAGCCATGAGAATTTCCTCATGCTTGTTAGATGATATGTTTAAAAGGCTGTCGGTCTTCACCTTGCCATAATTGCTTCATCTCATTTTGTAAGAACGAAACCCAAGAAACCTGAATGCTTCCAAACCTGCTCTCCAAAATTAACAGGAGCTAAAGCACTGGAAATTAGTTCTTCTGTTTTAGCAATAATGGAGTGTGAAAACATAAAACCAGAGACTAGTCAGGATAAAGATGACGGGGAGTCAAGTGCGAAGATGGCAGTGCAAATGGATAAGAAGGTAGAGAATTATGAACTTGGTCTGCCACACAGAGTTCTAAATTACTTAAGTGAAATCAACTCTTACAACCAGCTTATGAGAAAATACTATTATTTCAATTTTAGATGTAAAGAAAACAAAGCAGAGAGGTAACTGACCAAATGTTGTACACTTTGCAAGAGATAATGATTAAAAGAAGATATTTAGGGGCCAGTGAGATAGCTCAAATGAGTAAAAGTCCCACCACCAAACCTGATGATCTGAATTCCATCCCTGGGAGCTACATGGTAGAAGGAAAGAACTGACTACCATAAGTTGTTCTCGGACCTTCATATGAGCATGGTGGCGTAGATACCTTCCCTACAGTCACTCACAATAAATAACTAAAATGTAATAAAACATTTAAAAGAAGATATTTAGGAAGTAGAACCAAAGGTATTGGTCACTTAAAACCAATTGCTCTATTGTCTTACCTACTAGTCGCCTGAACAGCAATATAGTTCGTAATCTTCCTATAATCAACTACCCCTTCTGAATAGAAGCAGCTCACATTCTGAAATACTAATGTATTTGTAATATATTTAACCTCTTTCAGGAATCAGAATTTCAGATTGAAGATCACTAACCTTCATCGAATACAGCAAAAAGTAGTACAAATTGGTGCAACATCTGTGTCCTTTCTTTGGACAGACTCCCTAAAAAAGAAGTAAAAGCTTTTCGCTTAGATTTAAAATGCTATTACAGAATACCACCACAAGGAAGAGCCATTTCTTTATTAACTGTGTGAGAGACAAAAATGTAGTCCTTGGTCTATTAACTTTGCTACATCCTAAATTAGTGTTTTTAAAACTATCTGAAGTAAATAGTTATTTATTTAAATTTCCAATTTGTTCTAGATCATTGCTTTTGTGAAACACAATAAAAATGAATTGCTAGAAATGGATTAAAAGACATAAATACAACCTGAATAAACACACACACACACACATCCCACAAAAGAAAATTATAACAGTAAGTATTGTTAATGAAAATGTATATATGGGCAATTAATGTAGGGATCTTTCATTGCTCTAATAACCTTTTATACTTATGCAATTGCAGATAAGCAAAGAGTTGAGTAAAATTCAAAATATGGAACTCACATTTTAAACATAAAACAATATGTAAAACTTTAAAAAATTGTGCATATGTGTTTGTGTGAGTGTGTGTGCACATATTTGTGTATGGACAAAGGATACATTGCTGCGCCTGGCTTTTTATGTGGGTCCCCCCATGCTTGTGCAGAAGCACTTTACCAAGTGAGCCATCTCCCCATGGCCAATATTTAAAGATATTTATTTATTTATTTATTTATTTATTCATTTCACGTGTATGAGTTTTTGCTCGCATGTATATAAGTATGTAAGTTTTTGCCTACATGTATATAAATTCATCCATGATGTGCAGTGTCCACAGATGCCAGAAGAGGGTGTCAGATCCTCAGAAGTGGAGTTAAGGATGGTCGCTAGCACTGGGTGCTGGTAACTGAAGCCATCACCTAACTCACTAACCCCCCAATATTTAAAGTTTTTTGAAAAAAGTTTTGTTGTCGTGCTTTTGAGACAGGGTTTTCCTGTAGCCCCAGGTGGCCTTAGAACTCCCTATACAGGCCAAACTGGCCTCAGTCTCACAGAGATCCGCCTGTCTGTGTTTCCCAAGTGCTGGGATTAGAGGCATGAACTACCATACCTAGCATTTGTAGTGGTATAAATGAGTTTGCTTCATACTTTAACCTTCAAATTGTTACCTGTCTTAACTTTGTATTTTCTTATTTTATTGGGAAATTTTGCTTGCAGGCTTATGTTGAATAGGAACAGTTTTCTTTATAATTGTAAATTCTCCTTAAAAAATCTTTCTCTAACCATTAATGTTCAAAAACCAAAAATTGGGGCCTGGAGAGATGGCTCAGTGGTTAAGAACACTGACTATTCTTGCAGAAGATCCAGGTTCATATCCCAGCACCCACATGGCAGCTAACAACCATTGTCCGTAACTCCAGTTCCAGGGGATCCGACAGCCTCTTCTGTCCTCCGCGGGCATTGCATGACATGAGTGCACTTACCTGCATGCAGGCAATGCATGCATACACATAAAATAAAAACAATAAATAATTTTTTTAAGTTAAAAAAATTGACTTGGACAGGGAACGAAAAAATGAGTTGCTACTCATGTTAGGATAAGACACATGAATAAAGACAGCTGTAAAGTTAACACAACTTCTCTCAAAGACATTGTACAAACTCATTGAATAACCCTTTCTTTGTGTTACCTTGCAAAACTATTCTCCTAGTCTGTAGCTTGTTTTTTCATTCTCTTAGAAGTACCTTTAACTTGTTTCCCCGCCTTCATCTTCCCTCTCCTATTGAAATCTTTCTTCCCAACAAGTCTCCCTCCTACTTCATACCTTATTTTTTGGTGTGACTTTTTTTTTTATCCCTTTTAATTGAATTTTTGTGAATTTCACATATCCTATTTTGATCATATTTGCTTCCTTCCCCTACCTGCAAACTCCCACCTTACTTGGTATGACTTTTGATGGACTTTAGGTGTTCTTTTCAGGGCTCTCTCCTAGCCCCTGGTTAATGGAGAGTTTCTGCCATGTTTCCTCAAAGTTTTATGGCATTACATTTTACATTTTAGACTGCTAATCCATTTTGTTAATCTTTGTATAAGGAGTGTGGCTTAGGTTAAGGTGCATTTTTGCATATGCATGTTCAATTATTCCAAAACCTTCTATAGACGAGATTACTCTTCATCCACTGACTGAATTTTATACCCCATCAGTTGGGCGTATTTTTGCCGGTCTACTGTTCTCTTTATCCTGTTTTATGGACCTATGAGAAATGTGTCATGATTTTTTTCAGGTGTGTAATAAGTTGTAAAATTGAGTAGGGTGATTCAACTTTATTTTTTGCAGCATATGCTTGGCCAATTTAGCAACGGACTTTCTGTAGAAAATTTAGAGTGAATTTGTGTACATCAACCAAAATCATGCTTGAAGTTTGATTGCATGTATACATCGGTAAGAATAACACATTATTGTTTTTTTGAATCATCAAATTGGAGAGTTATACAGCAATAGATGATTAGAACAAAAAACAATTTCAATGAAACTGACTTTTGTACAAAAAGGAATTAAAAACAAATCATATAAAGTTTGCTTCCTTAGGTCAGTTTATATTATTAAGCTGTAAATTAAAAATAGACGAACAAAGTCAGATGTGGTGGCACATGCCTTTAATCCCAGAACTCTGGAGACAGAGGCAGATGGATCTCTGTGAGTTCAAGGCAAGCCTCGTTTACATAGTTATTTTCAGGTCAGTTGGGGATATGTAGTGAGATGCCATCTCAAAACAAACAAACAAACAAACAAACAAAAACCCCCACCACAACATAACAAACAAAAAACAAAAAACTCAAATCCCCAAATAATCCCCAACCCCTCAATAGACAGACAAACTTAACATTTTCTTTGTAGTAACAAGTTATAAATATGGGTAAATGCCTATTTTTCTCAGATTTTTGTACACATTTGGCTGACAAGTTAAGCAGGTGAACCAGTCAATGTGCCACTGACCACACACACGTTTAACTCCATGAAACTTTCAAGAAAACAGAGCTTTCAAAAAGCAAAGGATAGCAGACACACTGATTTGAGGTGGAAGGCAGCAATTCTTTGGAAACAGAGACATAATTCAAAGTCTAGGATGTTTCTGAGCCCAGTTTAGTGTTCATTGAGGTTACGTAGAATGACTATCTGTTCAAAAACTGGGTTATTCTCCTTTCCATGGACATAATTCCAAGGGGAAAGAAGCCTTTTTCTGAGCAAAGAATTCAAAGGGTCACTATTATCAATATATTCTGCTAGTTTTGCCCTGTTTCATCCCAATTCCATTTTTTCTTATACTTACCTTCTTTACATACCAGCAGAGCCCCAATGAGACCTGAATTCATATCTTTCACCAGATCCACATGAGATAGATATGAATAGGTGAGACATGGAGGATCTGAGGTCATTGGACCATTCTCTCTCAGGACTTCCCAAACATAGGTATGACTCTCGCCAGGAAAAACTTTATCATCTTCCTTCTCCCTTTGGCTTGTCTCATCATCATATTCAACTCCTAAAGCAAGAAGGGAAAACATTGTTCTTTCTGTGTATACTGTCTAGTCATAGAAACATACTGAGCTCGTAATTGCCAATGGATTCTACATAAAAAATAGATTTCTTGGGGCCAGCTGGGGCTATAGGGAGACCCTGTCTCAAAAAGACAAAAAGAAAGAGACTTCTGGGACTTCTAGCATTTAGAAAGCTTTCATCATAGAGAAATGATAAAATGTTCTATAGCCATATCACCCTGAATGTGCCTGATCTCATCTGATCTCAGAAGAAATGATAAAATATTCAAGGAAATAGATATATTTAACTCACTTTAAACATTACACAATATACACATGCATTAAAACATCATATACTACACCATTAATATGTACAGGTTTATGTACATTATGCACATTAGTATGTACAGGTTAGTATGTACAATTTTATATTTTTGGGTGTTAGATAAAATAACTTCAATTTTTAAGATACACTGTATAAAAACATTGCACTGTACCTCCAAAATTTATGTAATTGCTCTTTATCAACAAAATTCTCTTTAAATTAAAAAATAAACTTTTTAGGACTGGGGAGGTAGTTCATTCAGTAAAGTGTTTGCAAGCACAAAGACCCCAGTTCCATCCCCCAAATCTGTATTTTTAAAAAAAAGCCAAGCATGGTGGCATATGCTTGTAATTTCAGCACTGAAGACACAGAGCTGGGCAGATCCCTAGAGCTTGCTAGCCAGCAAACCTACCGTACCAGTTTCAGGCCAGCTTAGGTTGACCTAGAACTTGTAGTGATCCTCCTCACTCAGCCTTCTGAGTGCTGAGATTAGAGGTGTGCACCATCAAGCCTTGCTTTATTAGTAATGCTTTGGGATTTTTCCTCTAGTACTGAGAATGAAACCAGAAGCCTGGAACATACCAGTGAAGTGCTGTACCACTGACCTATATCCTAGCTCCCAGAAGAAGTAATTTTTTTTTTTTTTTTTTTTGAGACAGAGCCTCACTATGTAACCCTGGCTGACCTGGAACTCACTAGGTAGACCAGGCTGGACTGGAACTCACAGAGATCCACCTGCCTCTGCCTCTTGAATGCTGGGATTAAAGGCATGTGGCACCATGCCTGGCAGAAGAAGTAATTCTAACGAGTGAGAAACATACGTAATTTTAGGAAGAAAAAGTAAATGGGGCTAGGAAAACAATAAATGCAGACGGTGAACCTATCTTGAAATATTTATATTCTAGCAACTTTGGGAGACACAAATAATGTTCAGTTAGGCCTTCAAAATATTTGAAGTAATTTACATTTTTGAATGAGCATCAATAATTTCACTGTATTATAACATCCTGTGAAGCATTAAAGCTTGTCTTGGTGCTTTGCTTTTCTCTGACTGGCATGCCAGCACACATAGAGCATGGTTATAATCACTGGCCAATCAGACTGTTTTTTGCTTCTTTCTGTTTTGACTTTTCTGACTTTTATCATCTCTGGTAGTGGCATTTACAAATTTAGAAGAAATGGGTATGATAATGTTTTTTTCTCCCCTCCTTCTTGCCCATCTCCCCAACCACAGCCTAAGAATATTCATGTGCTTCTCAAGAACCACAAGTGTCATTCTTGACCCTTTTCTGAATTTGCAGCCTCTATGTGAGCTATGGGAAATGTTTTGTGCTCTAGGCTGCTTACATGAATATTCAGATCATGTCCATTTGTAGCAAACAGGTTATTGTGACACAGGTGAACAAGTTTGGAGATCTGAAAATCTAGGGAGATTACTATCAAAGAGTACTGAGGAGATCCTTCTCCCAGACCTTTATGATTTGGAACACCTGAAATAAGTCAGGATATTCAGCCCACCTGTTCACATTGTAGACCTGACATCAGAGACCATGAATGCTGGAGACCTCCAAGTAAAGATTGCTTTGCTGCTTCAATTTTTGCCTTTCTTGGGAACAACTTAGAGAAGCCTATGTTTGTGAAACTGTCTTTCTTGTGGATCAGGATACTTTCCTAGGTGGATAAAGTGAGGCTGATGCTCCTCTACCCTTTGTAACTCTTCCATATCACTTAATATCAAGAAGTACAGTGCAATATGTTTCCTTTTAACTATCATTATCTATAGGAACAAGGCAAACCTTGAGTTTTCAGTGGCTATCTTTGTCACTGTTTTAGAGAAATCTGCCCAAGAATGAAACCAAAAAGAAGGAATATAGGGCAGAAATCATGAGGAAAAAATCATGCTGACAGCATCATTGGAATTCTTGGACTCAGCCATACCCAGTTGACTCCATGGAACTTTCAAGTTGCATGAACAAAATTCAACATTATCTGTATGAATCCTTGGACGGTATTATAGTGGTTTAGGGCAGAAGTTTTGGAGTTGAATGGGCCTAACTGTGGACCTCATGCCACCACTTGCTAGCATATAGCCTTGAAGTCAACACACATAATTATTGCTGCTATTGTTATTAAATTTTAGTACTTCTGTATAAAAGAGAACAATGTATACAGTTCTTGTGTGACACTGTTATAGTTTAGATATGTCCCTCAAAGTTTCTTGTGTTGGAGACTTGGTTCCAATGTAGCAGAATTGAGACATTTAAGAAGTAGAATGTTGGGGCTGGAGAGATGGCTCAGCAGTTAAGAACACTGACTGTTCTTGTAGAAGACCCGGGTTTGAATCCCAGCACCCACATGACAGCTAACAACTGTCTGTAACTCCAGTTCCAGGGGATCTGATGGCCTCTTCTGTCCTCTGTGGGCATTACATGACACGGGTGCACTTGCCTACATGCAGGCAATACACAAATACATATAAAATAAAAATAATTAAAAAATATTTTAAAAAAGAAGTAGGATGTTAATCAGCCTTATGTTATAGTAATGAAAGATCTGTGACATGCTGGGTGTGGTGGCATACAACTTTAATCCAAAGGCTTGGGACACAGAAGCAGGCAGATCTTTATGAGTTCAAGGCCAGCCTGGTCTACATAGTGAGTTTTAGGTCATCTGGGGCTACACAGTGAGACCTGTGACAACTAACTTAAAAGAGGAAAGGTTAATTTTGGTTATGAATTTTCAGATGTTTCAGACCATGGTTATTTATAATACTATCTTCCATGAAGCCCTCACTACAGTTGATGCTGGATCCATGCTCTTGGAACTCAGAAGTATGAGCTAAATAGTTCTCTTATTTTACAAATTATCCATCCAAGTATTTTGTTATAACAATCTAAAATGAACTAAGATAGGCCCTATTACAAAGAGTATGGACCTCACTTATCTATCACTAGAATAACAGGACAATAGGATGGAATTTGACTTACCCTCAGAAGCTTTCCAGTAGGATACACCAACAGCATGAAGGCTGACAGGATGAGAAGCCATGTTCTTAAGTGTAATGACCACAGTGTCATGAACCTCAGCCCAAATGATAGGACCCGTCAGACCTGCAAGAATGAGATACCCCTCAAAGGTTACTTGGCGGATAGCATACCAGAAAGCCTGTCATTACAAAAGTGAGGGTCAAAGTCACAGTAGAAAAGCATGCCACTATGATTACTGATGAACAGCACTTAATGTTTGCCACTAACCCCAGTTCAGCCTCAGGTGTGTTTTGAGGATATGTTTCTGGTAGTTAATTTAACGAACTCATTAATTCAACTATCTAGGAGAAAAACATTAAAATCAAACAAAACAAATGCAGAAGTCCTGAGGCTTAGTTGAATAATATGGCTGAATTAAAGCAAATTAGCAATAGAGTAATAGAAAATAATGTTATAGAGGTATACAAGGAGCATAATATGTAGGACCCTAAGGGGGGAGGGAAGGAGAGAGGGAGGGAAGGAGGGAGGGAGAGAAATCAGAGGTGACTCCTATGACTTTAGATTATGACAAATGGGTGCTTAGTCCATAACACAGAAAATCAAGAGGAAATTAACAGTCATAATCTGAGGATATTTTTATAAGATTCTTATAAATGGCTCATTGAATGCACTGGAGTCAGTGACATGAAAGCATGAAATACCTTTATTTTTCCTAGATGACCACAGTTTTAAATTGCATTCTGTGGAATTTCTCTTTCTTGTACTTGACCAATCTAAAATCTTTTCTAGTAACCTTTAGATAATGACAGTAACGTTTTTTAAGTGCTGACAAGTTCAGTCCAGTCTAATGTCAAACTTTGATGTCCTCTAGCTCCCTTTACCCTCCTGCTAAGTTCTGACAGGCTCAGAAATATTCAGTGAGTAAAAGTACTTTTTGTTGGCATCTCCATATATTTTCTGCCTTCCTCTCTTAATCCTCCTCTTCAAGTGGCCTTCTTTTATATAGGCTTTAGATGATTCATGTACCAGGGGTTGCAGAACCAGTTTAAAAAAATTCTTAATAAATGACTGATACCTCTCTTTGTAATATGAGAGTACATGTCTCCTACAATTCTCAGCCACAAGTCTAAGACACATGATGGTGGTGTTGCTCAGTGGGAGAGCACTTGCCTAACATATGCAAGGCCCTGGGCTGGATCTTTTGCATTGAAGAAAAACACCTTGGGGCTGGAGAGATGGCTCAACAGTTAAGAGCACTGACTGCTCTTGCAGAGGCCCTGGGTTCGAGTCCTAGCACCCACATGGCGGCTATGAACTGTCCTTAACTCCAGTTCCAGGGGAATCCGAAGCCCTCTTCTGACCTCCAAGGTATTGCATGACATGGGTGCACTCACTTACATGCAGGCAATACACTCATACACATAAAATAAATATAATAAATAAAATATTTTTTAAAAATCTTAATACAGGAAATATCCCATCTTAAGCTCTTGTTATATGCTTATTTGACCTCTAAGAGGAGGTAAGCAGTTGGCATTTAGGGAAAGGTTCTAAATTAAAGATACAAACTGGGGGTTAGTAGGATATAAATATTTTAAAGCTATAAAACTGTATAAGATAAAGCTGGATTGAAGAGAGAAAGAAAAGAAAATAATCCCAGCAGGACCAAGCTTGTGGAAGCCACATAGAAGACAGAAAATCTAGCCAGTGTATTTCTCTGAAGATAGCAGTTAAGGACACCTGGTTAAAAAACATACTTTTTGGAAGTCACCCACTAACTTAGAGTGCAGTCTTAGATTAGGGATCTTGGCTAGGAAATGTGGTACCCAATATCACAATTAACATCCAATATTGTTTTCATTACCCATCCAGGGTGGCCTGGGCTTGGCAGTGTTGAAAAGGTGGTTCGTATACTCTACAAACACCGTCTTTTTGTACACATTAGACATGTTGAATGGGAAAGGTGTTGGTATTCTAGGATGAAATCTGTATGAAAAAATAAAAGGTCATTCATTTTGAAGGGTTTTATTTTATCTTACTTCAAAAGCCATTTGGAAACAAACATTATTTTTTTCATCTCACTCTCCTTTAGAATCTTCAATGCAACTTAGAACTTATACACAAATTCTGAAACTGCTTCTTTCATTTCCCCATAGTCATTGATCCAGAGCATCCCCTCCCCAAACAATAATTTCCTGCATGCAAAACAAAGAAGACAAATGAAGAAAATTCTGGCATTCAATTTTTTTTTGAGACAAGGTCTCGCTGTAGCCACAACTGGCCTGGAAGTTGCTACATAGACCAGGCTGGTCTCAATCTCACAAAAATCTGCCTACCTCTGCCTCTTGAGTGCTCAGATCGAAGACATGTATCACCATGTCCAGTTAATAAAAATATTTAAAAAAGAAGATGCTATAAAATCAGGATCAGCTTTTGCTCAAGTGTTTACTTTGTCATGCAGGACTTTCATCCATTGAAAGCTATAAAATCACCTAAAGAAGACCAGAAACTGTCAGTATTTGAACAATGTTGGTTGGAAATAGTTTTAGTCTGATTTGCTTTGGGCAATTCACTGCCTCCTGCAAATCCATGGGAACACCGCTCCCCAAGCTTAGCAGACATGATTGACAGAGACCTGCTTAGAAATCTGAAAACTTAAATGTGGCAAATGCATTACATGAAAAGAGTTGGAGCAAAGCTGTTAAGACCTCCTCCAGGGACACACAATCACCCAAACCATGGAAACAGTGTAATGACTGTGGGAAAATTAATCTGGGCACACACTGTGGCAGAGATGTCCAGCAGGTCCGCTTTTGTACCCTTGAGCTATGACAAGCAATGTGGACCAGAGGTGTGATGTCTGAGCTATTATGGCAAAAGAAAGACCTGTGTCAGATTACAAGCAGAGCAGACCCTTCCCTGCTCTGCCCTGCCCTGCGACAAGCATGGGCCCAAGTCCTCCGCAACAGGAAGCACAGGGAATGAACCAGCAGTTGAAAGGAGAGAACCAAATGCGCAGACACTTGAGACAGCTGGCTGCATCCCTCTAGGGGGGAGGTTCTGTGCTCTCAGATAGTGTCAAAGGCAAGGTGGGAAGGAGGAGCCAACTGAATGAGGCAGATTTCCTCCTAGGAAAGGTCAAATCCAGAAGGGATCTCTCAGGTGGTGAGCAGTTTAGCTTCCATTCACACAGAACAAAACCTGCTGGGAGCACAGTCCAGCCTTAGAGGAAGACCTTCATAGGCCTCCATGGGACGCAGGAACCAACTGTCTGAACTGGTGCACTGTTCTTCAGAGATCTCTGTCAAGGACACTGACCAAGTGGGGCAAGATGGTGCTGACCTCACTGTTGCTTTCTGCAGGTTCTCTGTTCCACTTAGCCCTGCGTTCCACTCCATTCCACAGTTTCCAGGATGCCTGAGATAGCCAGTTGACTGGGGAGCAGTTCTGTCAATTGAAGGTCATGACAAAAGACTTTCTGTACTGGCTGAGGGCCAGAGCCAGGGGGCTGATAAAGAGGCTATTCCAGTAAATAAGGTTGCTTTGTAGAGAAATTCGTGAGGATCTGCATTGTCTAGAGGGGTATGTCAGCTGCAGAAACAGGTGGGCAGGGTCCTATCTCATCTACTCCTGCCTCGTATCACACTTATGGCCTTTCAAGACATCTCTGATGATGACCCGTTTTTGGAGAGAAGAAAGTGCCTGAGTTTATAGATAGGTGAGTGTCATATGCTGGTATGAGAAAAAAATTGACTTGGTCTACCACAACCCATTTGAGGGTGGCTTTGATAGACAGTGGTAGAGGGAAAGACGCCAATGAGCCAAACTTTAATCAATGCTGCTAATTGGTCACTATATTAAATGAGAAATTATCCAGGGTTCAATTATATTCAGACTCTGTCAGTTATATATCAACTCTGTCTAGTAGCAAATGGCTTTGCTTTCTGGACAGGAGCCTAGTAGAAAGGAGTAAAAGATCAGGGACATATCAGCGAGTGGCTTTAAATTAGAAAGATCTTCATATCACATATTAATGCTATTAGAAAGCTTCCACTGTGGATGAAGTACAAAAATGCCAGCTAATCTCTGCACAGGCTGACCTATCTACTGTTGCCACCTATGTCTAATATGCCAGTAACAGTCCAATGGTGAGTTCCTACTATGTCGTAGCCTATCATGGGAACCAACCAGCTTCTCTACATCATGCTAACTACACTGGATCCCTTCCACACAAGAAAGGACCATACTTAATTCTAATAGGCAGACATGCATAATCTAGGTATGAGTGAGTCTTTCCTACACATAGGGCCTCTACCCACACTACTATCTGAAGGCTTACTGAGAATTTGAGTCTGGTGTAATGTTACATCACACAAGGGGACCACTTTCCAGCAAAACAGATGTGGGGGTGGGCTTATGGCTAAGGAATCCACTGGTTCTGTCATTCTGTCCCAGGCAGAAGCTGTCAAAGATCTAGGTGAAGGCCCATTACGGAAACAGGTCTCTATGAGGATAGTGGCATACACTAAAAAATGATGATTCTCCATCCTTGGAAGGAATGCTACACAGATTTAGGAAGCAGAGTGGTAACAAAAGGGCCACATGCCCCACCAATCCTAGTGGCCTGCCGAGGATGTTTATAAGTCTTTGGCAAAACTTCAAGTGACCTAATGAACTAGAAGTTAGAGTGGTCACCCGATTATTTATGGGTTACTCAGCAAAAGGACCAGCAGGTCAGAACAGGAGTGCCCTCACTATTTCACCCCACCATTACCTTGAGCAGCAAAGGAAGGGAAGGAGAAATATTTAAACATACTGTAATGCCATCCATTTAAAAAATTTTTCATGGTACTAGTCTCGGCTTATATGCCTTTCTGTCATTATTACACGTTTATACCACTGAGTTGATTCTTCCCTCCACTCCATTTGTCGCATCTCCCTGCTCTTTTGAGACTTTCACATTTCTTTCACATTCATCAACCCATTTCTAGTTTTCTATCTTTACCCTTTTTCTATCACATTTTCTTGGATCAACTGAGGCTATCCTACCCATTTAACTTCAAAGATTTCACTGTTTGCTAATAAGGCTCATACCCATATCCAGAGATACATATTTTTTTGAGACAGGGTCTCTCTCTAGCTCCAGCTGGCCTGAAATTTGCTATGTAGATGAAGCTGGCCTCAATTCCACAGAGAACTACCTGCCTCTGCCTCCCAAGTGCTGGGATTAAATGCATGTGCCAGCACACCCAGCCTGAGATCCATATTTTGACATGTTAGGATGGCGATTTTACTTTAAATATTTTTGACTCAAAAACAGAAGATAGATACATAGAAACCTGAGTGTGGTGGCACATGTCTGTAATCCCAGGATTTGGGAGACAAAGCCAGTTGGATGGTTGGGAATTTAAGGCCAGTCTGGTTTACATAGTAAATTCTAGGCCAGTTAGGGCTACATAGTGAGACAGACAGACAAACAAACAAACAAACAAACAAACAACAAACAAAAACAAGAAAAACCAAAGAAGAAGATACCCAGAAACACTTTTCTACAGCAAGATCTTTTATGAGCAGAGAAAACAGAATGAAGTACACATAGAAACACTTTTTCCTCCTCTTAAGGAGAGAAAGAGAAGGCCAGGCCCCAGTCAATCATGTTTCTGCTGTGGTGGAAAATACCTTGAGAAACATGATACATTTGCTTGCCTCAGATTCAGTTATAGTGACACAGTGTTCCAAGGTTCACAAACTTGGTTTCCTCCTAACTTTTGTGGGGATTTTGTTTGCGTATTTCCCTTGGGATTTGATACATAAATTCAATCATTCCTGACATGAACTATTTAACATTTTATCTAAAACCAATTGGAAAACTTATTATATTTCCTGACCCTTGATTAGAAGAAGCTGACCAGCTGCAGGGACAGATAATGAAAAATTGAATTTCCTCAGCTGTTTATTTCAAACCTTGGCAGATTCTGCCAGGATATGTTCAGGGTTAGCTTATCCTGTTATTAAAATAGTCTACATTGTAAAGCGGGTGTCATTAAAATAAAAATTCTACCATTTTTTTTCTGGTAAATTCATGTTACTTCCTATATAGAAAGCTAATAAATTATTTACTTCATTAAATTCAGGGAGTTTTCTGTGTATGTGTGTGTTTGTATTCATGTATTTGTGCATACATGTGTATATGACTGAATGCGCACGTGTGTGTGTGTGTGTGTGTGTGTGTGTGTGTGTGTGTGTGTGTAAAAATTCTACCATTTTTTTTCTGGTAAATTCATGTTACTTCCTATATAGAAAGCTAATAAATTATTTACTTCATTAAATTCAGGGAGTTTTCTGTGTATGTGTGTGTTTGTATTCATGTATTTGTGCATACATGTGTATATGACTGAATGCGCACGTGTGTGTGTGTGTGTGTGTGTGTGTGTGTGTGTGTGTGTGTGTATGGAGGTCAGAAGTTGATGTTGGGTGTCTTCTATCTCTCCCACCTTATTTTTTGAGACAGGGTTTCTCCTCAAACCTGGGGTTCACTGATTTGCTTGGCTGACTAGTCAGCAAGCTCCAGGGATTTACATGTCTCTGCTTTCCCAATGCTAGAATTTTTATGTGGGGATCTGAACTCACGTTTTTATGCTTTCACAGGAAGCACTTTACTGACTGCATTATCTCCCTAGTCCTCTAAATTCAATTTTACACTCAAAGTACTACTATTATTCATTATAGCCGGGCTGGTAAATTGACATAATATAAAGAATGTATGAAGTATAATTATCTCAATATTAATTATTAATAAGACAAAGATTAACAGATACGTGTTTAATTTATCAATAAGATAACAGACACCTAAGTATCTGGGCCTCTAATTTGAGGTCATTAACAGTACTCAACTGTAGGCTATACAAACTATAGAATGAACCTATATCCCTTTCTCACAAAAATGACCTCCAGCTGAATCAATGACTTTCATGTAGGAGCTAAAA